TGAAGCTCCCGATGCTCAGCTTCCTGCTTGATTGACTGGCTTCAGAATCTTTCCTGGGACAGTCTGTTTACTCAGTAGGCAAGATCAACAGGAACCTGGAGACCTGAGGGACAGTGAGAGATGGACATCAGAGAATAAGCCACCTAGCCCAGGCTGCACAACTGAGAAGTCCAGCCCAGGACTTTCAGGATAGTTGTGGTAAGTGCAAAGAGAAGGTGACACCCACAGACCAGGATGTGCCTGTCAGAACTCAGCTAGACCAATTTGAAAACATCATATGCAGGAAAGAATTTCTGATTAGCACTGGAGGTCACTGCACAGGAGGGACACATGGCCAGTGTGTCTCCATCTGCAATAACGACAAAGACCAGTCCCTGGTGGTTCCCAGTCATTAAATATATTCGTCTTGGATGACCCAGAGTGGAGTTCAGCAGCAGCACTGGCACCACACAGAGTGATGCTCTCCTGGAGAACCCATCTGCATTAGGGAGGGCAGAGCTGTCCTTCTTCCTTCTCTGAAACCTTGAAGTTGTGATGTGCATGGCTGCTGGGGTCATAAAGAGGAATGGACCCTGGAGATTTGGGTAGAAGATTGGATGGCCAAGATGTTGGAATAGAAGTGGCCGCCATGTGGTCAGACAGAGAATGGTCAGGGTAACAGGTGGAAACCCACACAGCACAGAGAGGCAGAAAGGCAAGTGGGAGCAAAGCACAGAGCCAGGGTACTGCCCCTCTGACCCCTGGCTTAGGGAGGGGCCTGCAGGCACAGCCCAGCTGAGAGGACAGCAAGAGGACGGGAAGAGACCAGAAGTGCCCATGGCAAGGAAACCTGGAGGGCGGGCAGTTGTTTCCACTCAGGATCTGGTCCAAAAGGGGCTCCTCATGCATAAGTGGCTTCAGAGGGGCCCCCACAATATCACTCAGCCAGCTCTCAGAGAGTGCCAGGAGCCAGCCTGCTGAGGGGTTCAGGAAACACAACATTGACTTACTATCACTGGGCACACAGTCACAGGGTATGGATGGGGATGGTCACAGACCACAGCATTGGGTGGAGGGAATGCCTATCCCAAATGTGCTGCCAGTCTGAGAACTGTGGGGCACAGTTGGGTGGGATCCCCCTGGGTGGCTCCATGTGGCCTGTCCCACTCTCTGTGTGAAGAGCAAGACCTGCCCAGTGTGTTTTCTCCTCAAGTCCTGGTGGAGGCAGGGTCCCCTGTCCCAAAGTCCCTCCAGCACAGAGTGTGGGATTCCTTTGCTTGCACTGTGCTCAGAGCTGCTCTGATGGACAGCACACCCTTGCCAGATCCACCTTCCCTCCACAGGTCAGGGGCCAGAGTGGGATTTGGCAGCTGCTGGATGTGGCTTCTCCAGCTGAGCACTATGAGTCTGGAAAGTATCCACAGGACTGATTCAGGGGCCTTAGACCCACTGTGACATGGCCCTGAGCTCACACTTCCTGACTATTGGTCTCCTATGTATCCCCCTGATTCAGAGATATGGTTATGTCCCCCATTTCAATTAAGTGCTGCTGTCCCACAGTGCCTGTGAGTTCTGGCAGTGTCCTTGCCCATCATGCACTCACTCTGGTACAGGTCTGGGTGCCTGTTAAGCAGTCTGTGGGGAAGGTGGACAGCACATGTTTTTCCTGGGAGGCTGTTCTGAAATGACAGGTGTAAGGAATAATCATAAAGAGGAGATAGAGACAAGGTGCAGATGCAGGGAAGATGGCAGAGTGGCTCTTTGTCTGAGGAGTTATTTTTATTCATACTAATAGGTACATTGGGTCATTAGTACCATAACCTCCTAATTGTTTAGAGTATCAGTATAGTTAGTCATTCTGCAGTTACATTTCAGTTACAATATGCAATGTTAGGGGCTTTGTGCAGCTCTCCAGAAAGTCCATTGTCTGAAGTTACTTTTAGGCAGCAGATCCAGGAGCAGCAGAGCTTGGTGAAACATTGTAGTTATCAAGCAAGCAAGTTCCTTTATTCCCAGGAGCTATGTGGCTGCAATCAAGGTTGAGGCTTGGTGAGGCTCTAACACAGAGGCTTCTCAAGTCATTGCCATACCAGCTAGACTTGGCACATATATTAGCTAGTTGACTAGATCCTAAGAGAGATTGCAGGGCATTCTAAGGGTGGAAACCAGGTGCCTGTTACCCTGTGGGAGTTTGCTCACCAGGGGAATGCTTCCCTGTACATTTTTACAGTCAAAATCCCTACAGACAGGCATCCTCCTCATCATCCAAGTGCTCTATGCCTGCAGCCTGGATCACATATATTGTGTTAAGGTCTTCTTCATTGCATTATTAGCATTGATATTGCTAAATATAAGATCAAGAAATCATCTAGTCTTTAGCATTTTATCCAAATTTTAAGAAACATACATATTAAAGATTTGCTGAAATTTTTTAAAATGTGGGGAAGGAGAATAGAAATTGTAAATGAAATGCTCAGCATTTCCTGGAAACACTTGAGTCTATAGGCCTCAAGGGAATGGTACTGTGGCAGGAGGTCTAATAAGTAAAATGCAGACAAGAAATGCTTTATTAAAGTTTCTAAGTTATTGAGTGAAATGAGAATTACCATTTTAAATATCTTTATTTTTTTCTGGAATAAACCCTTCTCAATATGACTTTCTGCACAGCTTCCTTTACCTGTTTGTTTCTGAGACTGTAGATGACAGGGTTCAAGAGGGGAGGAACTATAGTGTAAAACACAGAAGGACCAATGTCCTGAGTCCCCTCAGAGGTCACTGATGGTTGTAGACACACGTAAGAGATAGAACTGAGGAAGAGGGTCACCACGAGGATGTGGGGGACGCAGGTGGAGAAGGCCTTCCCCTGCTCCTGTGTGGGGAACCTGAGCACAGTAGAAAATATGCGCACATAGGACATGGCAATGAAAACAAAGCAGCCTCCACAGACCACCACAGTGGAGATGAGAATGGAGAGCTCATAGCTGGATGTGTCACAGCAAGAGAGCCTTAGCAGGGAGGGGACACCACAGAAGAACTGAGGGACCTCGTTAGAGCCACAGAAGTTCAGCTGTAATGTGTTTCCAGTGTGTGCACCTGCATAGACCAGGCCACTAAGCAGGGAAGCCAGGGTCAGACGGACACAGAATTGGAGGTTTATGATAGTTGAATAATGGAGGGGCTGGCAGATGGCCACACAGCG